TTTCAATATGCAATGGTTTCTTGGTTTAAATATTATGCAACAATCTGTGTTTCCAAACAGCATTAATATACCATCATGTTTTCTTGGTTTAAATATCGTTATCATGCGACATATTGTATTTACAAACACTATTATCATATGCAACAGTTTGCGTGTATACAAACACTGTTATTGCGCAGCAGTTCGTGCATCTACAAACAATCTGCTACAATCTGTGTTTTTAAGCAGTGCTAATATACAATGGTTTCTTCGTTTAAATATCGTTGTCATGCAACATATTGTGTTCACAAACATTATGCAATGGTTTCTTGGTTTAAATATTATTATGCAGCAATCTGTGTTTTTAAACAGAGTTAATATACAATGGTTTCTTGATTTGAATAATTTTATCGTTATCTTTCGACAGATTGTGTTTACAAACACTATTATCATGCAACAGTTCATGTGTTTACAAACACCGTTATTGCGCAACAGTTCGTGTTTTTACCAACACTGTTAATATGCAATGGTTTCTTGGTTTAAATATTATTATGCAACAATCTGTGTTTTCAAACAGCGTTAACATACCATCATGTTTTCTTGGTTTAAATATCGTTATCATGCGACATATTGTGTTTACAAACACTATTATGAAACAGTTGATGTGTTTACAAACATACGCATGCCTCGATTCCCTATATTTCAAAATCGTTTTTTGAGTATGTTCCAACATTGACAAAATTCACTCCGAGTGCCCACGAACCTGCATCTATACCTTAAGCTACATACTGCAAAAGAATCCATTTTAATACGGATTGGACAACCTGACAATATCAATCAAATCCACGTTCACTAATTATAACGCTCATTGCTTTTTTGGGCCATATGTTATAATTATATTAACAAGCTTTTCCTAAATTTCCAAGACAGCCTGAATTGGTCGACCAGAAGAACTCAGATGCGACACATCTTATTCTACGGTTTTGTTGGTTTTCATAATTGTCAGTATTTACATCGCCATCCCGCATATGTTCAATAGTATGGAAAAACGAATTCTTTCAGAAGGTTTCTTGCATTCACATATTTTCGACACTATGTAAAATAGTAAAGTGGACACTGTAGTTCAACTGGTCATGATTATGTAAACCTGTTAACATTAATGATGCTAGAATAAAGAATAACCATGACGACTAATGAACACAATGATACTACCATTATTAGTCGTGAATTATCCAACCTCTCTAACATTTGTCAAATTTTAAAGCAGCCATGCCAACTTTGCCATAATTTGTACAACCTTATACATTGTTTTGTAACAATATCTGGACAGTTCATTCATATAATAAATCGCGTAGCGTCTTTTCGTCACTTTTTTCGAACTTTCAACTACGTGATTCGATAATACAACAACGTCGGTCAAATTGCCATGCAACATGCGACCACATTTCTCATTACTTTTAACAATTGTGTCCGATGTTATGTAACAGGTAGTGGTCAGTTAGTTTGACATTCTGTAAATGTAATGAAGTTGATTGATTCAGTAATCGACCTATGACCTCGAAATTCCCTGAGCGATGTGTTGAACCATAACTGATTTTTTTATAATCACCGCTTAAGAAAGTTTTTTTTTGTCAAGCGAAATGTCAACTTAAAATCAACTTTCACAGTTTCGCGTTGTTTTAACAGATTATGGTCATCTCGTATGGTAATCCGCTGATGCAGTCAACTGTTTTATCCCCATTT